ACAACGCGGTGGCGAACGGTCTCTCCGACTCTCCGCTGTGTTCCGTGTGACCGTGTCGGTGAAAAAATGTCGCCTAGAAAAAAAAATGAGAGTAGGAAGGAACAGAAGGAGCGAGAAGGGGGAGGAAGGAGCGCGGCAGAAATGCGAGAAAGGAAGGCGCCGGTCGAGCCGGAGGAAATAAAGCATTTCGGAGGGGGACGGAGGGGCATAATTTTCGTTCCTTCCGCGACCGTATTTCGTGGAAACAATGCGCCCTGGGTACCGCAATCCCGGATGCAACCGACCCAGAAAACACGGCTGGGATTACTGTGCCGGCGCGCTACGCGATAGCTCCCCGCGTACGTACCGCCGGGTGTACGTACACTCCAGCCTGTCTGTCTCTACGTCGTCTCCGGATCCGCGCTTCCGCCTACCGCGCGCGCGATTACTCGCCAGTCCCAGAGGAGAAGCGGAGGAGGGAGAACGGGGGCGGCGTGTGGCGACGCTCGCGAGATTTAAGTTAACGCGAAGGGACGAGAAGGGGAAAGGGGAGATGACGATCTTAAGGTTTGCCGATTTTCCTCCATTTTCGTACTGACGTGAAAACGACGACCAATTTGTTTTTCCGAGCAGCTGAAGCCTCGTCTGTCATCTGCATAAATTGGAAGATTTATGTAAATAGAGTTTTGTTTAATCTGAATGTTTTGAGAACGTGCCAACTTCGTCATCTTGCTGCTACATATGGGAAAGATGACGAAGTTAAGACAAAAGATTGTATGCGTGTGAAAATAATTTTTACATATATTTTATATTATTTTTTTTTTTTGGTATTATAATGTTTTTACACAATAAAGTACAAAATAAAATGCAAGTAGTAATATTATTTATGGATAGAAAGTGTGATTTGTAATAACGTAACTTAGAGAAGATAATATCTAGACGAGAACGAGAAGAAAGGAAAATAATTTTTCATATTTGTATAATGAAAAATAAAATATATTTGTATAATGAAAAATAAAATAAAATTTTACCCGTATGATATTCATACATATCATCTTGCTTCATGGTCACTATATTCAGTTATCCAATTAAAAAATATTGTAACATGAGAAATGAAAAATAAAATATTACATATGCGCTTTTGAATATACTATGCAATAGTTTTATAGAGAAAGTGAAAATATTTATCAATAATTGCGTAAATTTTTATGAAGAAGTGCGGTAAAAATTTATATGTGGAGCTATCCAAAATATATTCCTCATTACACAATCTACCGTCGTTGGCAGATTGAAGTGAAACTATGACAATTATTTAATATTATTAAAAGTCTCTAATAAGTCGGGCATCAACTCGTTACTTGTTAACTTAAAAAAAAAACTAGCAAACCGTCATGTTGAATTTTATTTATACGTGTCTATAGACAAATCGTGGTAAAGCGAAAGAGAGCTTTATGCATGTGTCTGTGTGCGTGCGTGTGTATATGAAACGGATATCGAAATTGATATTCTTACTATCGGGCTATCCCTGATAAACTGACGGAGAGTTCCTTCGGACTGCGAAGGATTGATTTGTGAATAAGTCCCGCTCGTTCCTCCGTCCGTAGGAACGGCGTTTCCGTCGCTCTTCATTCGCGGCCCTTTGATTTCAACGAGTTCTTTATTATGGAAGCGGCCTCTGACATTTATCGACCCGATATCACATCGGGAACGTTCCCGGAATACGCACCTGCCGCAGTCCTTGAGACGCAAAATTCTCCTAAAAATAGAGCCGCGCCTCGCCCTGTACGCCCTATTCGCCGTCAAACCGTCGCGGGCTTAAATAAGTAACGAAGCGGCGCCGTTAACGTCGGCATCGTCGTGACACGTGGAACGTCGCTCGAAATAAAAGAGCCCATCAATCCAATCGACCACGCGCGCGCGCAATGTCAAGGTCCGATGAAACAATGTAGACAAGTTAGTAGTATATCGCGCGATCAGCCATCGTCTCGCTGTCAAAGTATCACCTCTCGATATCGATTCTTCCTCGGGCGAGGATTCGCGTCAATGTTATCACATTGCGGGCCGCGCATAGACAGCTGTGATATTTCACTCGAAATTGAAACGCAAATTGAAACACAATTAACCTTTTCCGAAATATTGACGCATATGTGCACGTTTAAATAAGGGTTCAATTTCTCATTTTTCATTCAGACACCGTCGACAAGGATGTAACGGACGGTAAGGGTGAGGCTTATTATTATCCTTCTTACATATTGATTAAAAGAAAGATTCGCGTTACTTCATGATATCATGTTAGTATAATATTTTAAGAATATTTCTCATAATATTTCAATAATTATATATCCTTTAATTTCCAGACAAATATTAGTCTTGCATATATTCATACGTAAAAACGCCAGCTCTAAGCAAAATCGTGTAAATAAACGGTAAGGGAGATGATATGGGAGGCTTACTATCAACCTCCTTACATATCGATTAAAAGGAAGATTCGCATTACTTCACGATATCATGTTAATATAACACTTTAATCATATTTTTCATAATATTTCAATAATCGCATACCCTTTAATTTCTAGAAAAATATTAGCCTTGCATATATTCATACATCCAAAATTTCGCTCTAGGCAAAATCGTGCGAGTCAAACAATTGACTCCATACCCTGGGTCCTCGCCACACGTCCTTCGTGAAGGTCTTGTCTTAAAAGATATCAGATTTACCGTATCATCTTACGGCCGGTTTTCACGTCTCCGGTCCGCGTTTACCCGCGGACGACTCCACGTGGCGATCGCGCGGCGGGAGGTCAGGATCGACGGCGGGCTGAAGATTCCGAGACAACGTCCGTCGCGTGCGCTGTACGAAGAGCGACGTGGCGGATCCTCCGGCGCGTACCCTCCGCTGTCAATATCCCGCTGCGGCTCCGCCGGACGGAGCGCTCTTACGTACGCTTGTTCGACGGGGCCGGGCTTTCGGCGGTGAAGCGAACACGGCTACGGGAAGGTATCCGCCATTTTTCCCCGGCTCATAGCGAAGTGTCGGAGGGGGGGGGGGNGGGTCGCTTCCTGGCGCAGCGCGAGCTAGCAACTTCGCTACTCCGAAGTATGCCATTATCAAACACATCCACTATGAAGTTAGACAACTTCGATGGGAGCCGAAGAAGCGCGAGCGAGCGAAGAAGGCGGCGGCTGAAGAAGTTGGCCGATGAATCTGCCGGGGATAGTCTCCCGACGTTTCATCAAGTTTGCGAGGCGTGAGGCGAGCCGCATCCGCGCGATCCGCCGCCCGTTCATCCTCATTTTTTACACGAATCAGACGTGCACACGCGCGCCGCGTATACAACGCGACGTCTCTTCCAGCACCCCCTCCTTCCTCCTCCCCTCCGCTAACTTTTTGCTCCTGGGCGAATTCCTGAGCGAGATATTATGCACCGCGGGACGAAGCGCCGACACGACGGCCGGATATGCGAGCGAGCGAGAGCGGGCCTGTGTTTTATTGCCGCCAGCGGCGAATAAATATGCGGACGTTTCCCGCGCCGCGGCCGTAAAAATGATAAAGAAGGGTATCGACTGCCCCGACCACCTTGAAATGCTGAAATACATATGGAATACGCACCACCCTCTATTTCCACCGCTGCTGTCGCCGCCGTCACCCGCCGTCTCCCGCCGGGAATCAATGCGCACCTTCGCCAGCCAACCTTTCTTCGCCGCTGCGATCGCTTTAGGGAGGATCTTATCCCCATCTCTTCCGGTGCCGAAGCCTCTTACCACCGCGAACTCGCTTCCGTTGTTGGTCTCGAGCGCGGCCCCTATCGGATAAAACTTCTTGCCGCTGGTCATTCCTGCTTGTTCTCAAGCACTTCGTCACGCCGAAGTTCCCGTGAAGCCGCGAGAACGCTCGGTCTTTCGTACGAATCGTCAATGGTTGCGGGGGAGGGGGGGGGGAGAGGTGGAAGGGGACGGAAAGCGAGGGATAATATTCGCGTTAACGCGGCGAGTGTTTGTCCGACGATATTGGCCCGGGATTATCGCGCAGATGCTTTGCGTATTTCCCAATTCGAACTCGAAGTCCTCGATTGATTATGTTTTATTTTCTATTTATAGACGGTAAAGAATTTTGTGTGAAATTTAATATGTTCCGCGTGTCCCAAACCGTCTGCTCAAAATTTTTTTTATTGAATTCACACAAAGTGAATATGTTGGTAAGTGACATAAATATTATGTCCAGGGTTAAACACAAAATTAATACATGAATCGGCGTATTAAAGTATAAAATATGTTATTTTAACACTTACGCATTGAACATCAAACTTTTCAAACAAATTATGGACTCTGATTGGGAGGTCTATACGGATTCGGGTGAAAATGTAATGTTTCAAACACGCGAAATAGAAAACCTAAATAGATTCCACTTATTCTTGCCGTTTCCCTAAAGATTTTCCTTAAATTTTCTTTCGCATTTGAATTGAACAAAACATATGAAATGCTCCGAGAGTGTGTATAATATGGAAAAAAAATAGTTCAATTGAATTCAGTTGAAATGAACGAACCAAAGGCGTTTTGATTAAAGGAAACAAAATTTCTAGTTGCTATCAATCCGATTTGGTTCTTATAAAACACACGTTTAGTCGATTGATTTCAGGTAAATGCAATCATACTGTCTTTTCTGTGCACACTTTCCAATTGTAAGTACATAAAAACCTGTCGAAGCGTTTTTACTTTCCCTTTTGATTTTCTATTTTATTGAATGCGATAGTCGATATAAAATGAGATCCTTTGTTCGATTCCATGAAAATAGTCTTATACCAATATATCATAATGTAGTCTTATATCAGTTTTAATCATTAAACAAACGCGTGAGTTCCCACATTACTTCATGTTTAGATTCTAGACGGAAAACTCGTGTTTGAGATAAGAACGGAATTCCCAATTTCGGGGCAAATTCGGGTATTCCGATCTGAATCTATATCATGTACTTGGGAAAATGTAGAGAAATTTCCATACGGTGTATCCTCGTGTGTTCGTAGGAACGGTTCGAGGAGCGACATCGAAGATGCAGTAAGAGGGCCGACTCGGACAGGAGTCACGACATTCGGTGAGTGATTGTCCCGTTTATGTCGTCGCGCGCTTAAACGCGAAGTGGACGAGTTACTTTGTCACGATCGGCGAGTCGACGAGCGTGTACGTGTTCGGAGGAACTCGAGGATCGACGTCTATCCATACACACACACACACATGCACACGCATAGATACACATTCAATTTCCGATACCGTCACTCATTCGCGCCTTGAAAATTTTATGAGCTGAATCAAAGATCCGAAGTTTATATAAAAATCCATGAAAAGTTCCCCTCTCCCTCTCGCGTACGCGCGCTCCCTGCGGCGACGATTTCCGTGAGAAATATTCGCGGCCGAGCCACTTCGGCCGGTAAGTGCAGCGCGACCGTCCCTCATGAATTTCATAAAGTTTCATCCGTCCTGTACATCGGGAGTTTCACGAGGCCCGTGAAAATTGGTGCCATTCGACGTTCGCGTAAAGCTCCGTCCAAATCGAAATCTAAGCTGCGCCGTTGTCCACATACATACACACACATATATATATATATATATATATATATATGTATATATATATATACATAACCGCGGCGTACCCTCGCACCCGGAGACCGCTGCGAATCTCGGTCGCTTTTCACGTTCAAAAACGGGGTTACGCCGCGACGACGACCGCTATATGGCCAATCCAATCAACTTACCTGCGAGCGAGCGAGAAAGAGAGAGAGAGAGAGAGAGACTTATAGCGTGAATTTCATAAAGGGAGAACACGGAGGGTGTTTTTAAAGTGTCCCAAGTGGAGATCGACGGCGACTCCCGGGTCGATCTTCGCCGCGTTGTTTTCCATCCTCGACTCGGCCTCGTCTTACCTCGAATACGAGAAAGGGGAGTTGCTTCGCGCCAGGCGTGAATCGTTAATTATGCGAGGGAAAATTATCACCCATCGCCGGCCGAGGCGCGGAGGAACGGACTCGTAATGCGCGTCAGCAGGAGGAGAGGATGTATAGATGCTTCGTTTATTCTACGCTCTAGTGTCCCCTCAAACGCCGAAATCACGCATACTTATCTATTTAAGACTCAAAGAATTTTTGTTATAAATGCCACTTTTCCAAAATCTAAAATCTTCAGGGAAAATTAATAAAAGAAACTATTTTTTCTCACGCAGGTCTCAGAAATCCATTGTCACGTTCGCGATAGCTGGAACTTAAAGGGTTACATAAAAATACATAATTATATATCTACGTAATTAGATTACATAGGATTTGTAACAGATGAAGCAAGCTTTTAGTCTCTTGTTTTAAACATTAAATTGTAACGTGATTCGTAGCAAAAAGCGTTTCCGGCGTTACCAAACGTCGCAATTCCCAAGATTTAAACGCTATTTCGGCAGTGCGAGAAATGCCTTTTGTTAGAAATTACGTTCCATTTTATTGCTTAGAGTAAAAACCAAAGGCTTACTACACATATTGTGTACGAAGAGAAATTATAGTTATTTCCGGCTTCAATTATACTCTTTTCTCATTTATTATCTTTATTACTATAATAACATTTGCTTGAAAAATGGTTCTCTTGACTATAAATCTTTTACTATGGCTTATAGTTATGATATTATAGTTACGAATATCAAATTTTTTTTCCAGCATATCAGTATATTCAATAGATCCGGACTTATATAAGAGAAAACTGTAACCGGTCTAAAGACATTCACTTCGGATTGGTGGAACCGACAAAACACGCGTGTTTTCGCGTTATTTTCTTTTTTTGATCTTGAAAAAATTCGCGGTAAAATAGCTACCTCGAAGAGTACCTTCCGCCTCGCGCGCCTTTGCGCTGTTTAATTAAGTTGATTGACACGGAAATGAAATTTGTCCCTTCGTGCCCATGGCATTGCATGTGACGCGCTCGCAGTTTGATGATATCTAAACGACAGGCTTTGATTATTTATTAGCCCAACTCCTTTCCTCTCTCTCTCTCTCTCTCACGCTCTCGTTGTCATGCAACGCGACGTCTATTCCAGCGCGATGAATGTCGCGCGTTATTGCGCGGCGTCTACGGTGTTTCGTGTAAAATTCATTCCCCTTTATAACGATAATGACCCTCCGTACTACGTCCGCTCACTGAATCATTCATGACGGCGTTGGGGTCAGGCTTGCGGAGGCTTCGTCAGCTGCTGTGCGATTACCGTGCATTAGTACACCGGGACGATGTCTCGTGCGCGAGCGAGCGAGTCCTCCTCCATTCTGTTCTCTCCGGGGAGAGAAGTGGCTTTCAGAAAATGAGAAAATACCAAAAACTTGCCGGAAGCTCTTGGCCGCGCGCGCGAGCGAACGAAAATGTCCTCGTCCGCGTCGTCGCCAGTGCTTTTTTCCCGAGATTTCTCACCGTCGTTACCGCATCCTCAAGTTTTATCGATCTTATTGGCGGCGTCCCGCCGTGCCGAATGTTTTTCCAATATCCGTGACTGGATTCCGCGACATGACAAATGCGCCGCAGATAAATCGTGCTCATTATTTACCGGCCAATCTCTCAAACACTTTATACGTCGCAAGAAACAAGATATATCGACGCCGGTGTCGTCGGGTTTACACCACTTGGCGAGTCGGAGTCGAAATTCTGACGCTACTTTGATGCTCGTGAGACAGTTGACCCGTGACAATATTTAGAAAGGAATGATTCATACAGCGCGAAGAAGCTTGGAAAATCTGTGCAAGTATTTATAAACATGATTTATAATATATAACTTTTACACTTTACGGTAAGAAAATATCAATAAAATTTATATAATATTTAAAATCTCATAAAGAAATAATTGGTTTTCGCGTTTGACGTATATTTTCGACTGAGGCTGCTCGTGCAAAGAAACAAAAACAGTCTTGAATCAAGAATAAAAATTCTGATATATATAAGTGAGAATATCATAATCTTCTTAGACGATCTTTAGTCTTGATTTGATTGAATTTGGTAGCTAAAATTAAAAGCGTAACATCGGAAACCGTTTTCGATACATGTGAATAGTGCTTACTTTGGCTTCAATTACCTCAGCTTCGGTATGATCAATCTTTTTCGAATTTTGCACGTGTGTAAATCGTGTTTCGATTAATGTGCTATTAAAATTTTTAAACATCCCTAAGAAAATAATTTTTCCAATATCGATAAACTTAGAGGTACCTCATAGATAATTTGCGTTTACTTACCCAAGTTGAAACTTTGGCCCTGTGTTAAAGCTAAAACAGTGTTTTGACGCTAAAACAGCAAAAAACGGAAATTCGAGACATTATTAAGATCAAAGTAGGGGTCACATTATATCGCTAGAATTGAAATTGAACCTATTTTGCTAACTTATCTCCTACTGTGTTGTCAAATCAATGACTTAATACAGGGCGAAAATTTGGACCCGGGGTGAGCAACTATACCGGCGACAACACGAGACGCTTCATTCTCTTTCCGTTATCGGACATCGTTATTTATCGTTCGTTATTTGTCGTTATCGAGATTATTATTCATTTCAACGCCGCTCCCTTCCAGTCCGCGAGAGAGACCTGCCGCGGGCCGCGTTAATTAACGCGCTATTTGTACGCGGAAATCACGAGTTCGATTTCGCTGTATCGTAATTTTAGCCCCGCCTTGATCATTTAAGTTTAGCTCGACGACGGGTCAAACGACTCGATTCAAGCGGGAGATACGAAAATGGAGCGCGAATACGAAAGCGACGCGATGAAGCGGAGCTGGAGGGTTGGTGGTGCGGTGAGGGGGTGGCTGGAACGACAGCGTCGTCGGGACTGCTGCATCGTAACACGACCGAAGGTCCGAGGGAGGATCGCAGAAGCCAATTAATGACGTTCTCTTCCCTTCCCTCTCGTGTCAGCCCCGGTGACCCGCGCTTTTCCTTCCCTTCGCTCGCCCTTTACGCAAGGTAGGACCCTTTCTGAGATTTCTGTCTGGTCGGATAAGCCGGGAAAGTGTGCAAAACGGAGGCAAGGATAAGTCCATTTGCGAATGCGTAAGCGAATTACGGAAGTTCTTTGCGAAGAGAACGAAGGGAGCCCAGTTGTGGCGACGGAGGTTAAGGAGGGAGGGAGGGAACCGGACGGGAGAAATCCTTTCCGAGTTTTCTCGCTTCGCGGACGCTCCGTCGCCAACGTCCTCTGTGTTTCTGGAACCGACGGCCCCGGTGAGGTTTATCGAGAATACGAACTTGTTCTCGCACGGATGTCATCCCTCTCGACTAATTACGCCGGTCTCTTCTTATGCGTTAACTTCCCCTTGTCCTTTTGTCCTTTTTAATTCGAACGATGTCGGAAACATATAACGGATATCAGCGTGAATAAACGTCCGTCACAAAAATCCAGACAAATCTTGCCTCATGATTGATAGATGCATATTTGCGCCATGTGAAAATTAAATCATGTTCTTATGGTTTTAATATTATTAATATTAATACACTTATCCATGAACTGAGGTTAAGACGATGAATATCGCGATCGATGAGCGCCATTATTATTCTATCTTGTCCCATTAAGTTATATATGAAGTATTATTAACTAATATTGTTAGAAGAAACACGTATGAAAAAGCATCGTTTTTAATCGCGAATATCTCAGTTCCCGACTGGTCAATCGTTTGATAACTTTACGCGTTAACGAACGATCGTGGAGAGCGCGCGGCGGAGATCCGCAGTCCCGGATCCCGGATTTCCGATGCCGCTGCCCGATGCTATCCGCGACGGCGCGCTTTCGCGAGCGCGCGCGTTGTCGCCAATTTGCCTCGCGGCCGTCGACGTACGAGATGGCCGTTCGATGCGCGTTCCACCGTCACATCCGTCGTCGTTTTGCCCGTTCCTCGCGAATCGTAATCGAGCCCCAGGTAAATAGATACGGACGACGGGGCCGTGATTAAAATTGATTTCACGGACGGTATACTTTATGAGAGAATTTCTTTCGTCGCGCGGACTACCTCCCGGGACGGATCCTCGCGATCTCGCGGATTCAAATAGAAATATATCGGCGCGTATATACGTCGAGCGAACTACCGATGTCGGTTCAA